TCTTGTTTTCACCCAACTAGAAGTAAGAAGGATCTATGTCTCCAGCATCTCCCATGTCAAGAATTCAGTTAGTTTGAATAATTTCCAAAACTCCTGTGGACCCTGTTCTGGGGAAGTGCCTTCCAGACTGGAAATTGTTGCAGTATGTTCAGCAGAGGACACAGACATTGGGACAGTGGCTCATCTGCATACGCGTGCATGTGCGTGTGTGTGCGTGCATGCATGTCCCTGTACCTGTAAGCGTTTCATTCCCCAGGCTTGCCAGAGAGCAGGAATGCCTGCTACCAGCAACGCTGTGCTTGGTACTGAGCCCGGGCACTGAAAACAGACAGCAGCGTTTGGATGCCACTTAGCTGAATGTGTGACACTGGGCTGGTGGCAAGTGTCACATTCTTCCAGTGCAGAAAGGAACAATGTGCTCCTTACAGGATGACGTGAGGACCTCAGAAGACCATCCTCAGGACGGAGGCTTTCTGTGTGTCACCCAGCCAGGCACTTGACACCGAGTTAGCGGTCAGTACTGGTGCCCTGTTAACCCACATGCACCAGGGCAGGTGCCTGACATTAACTGGTGCCTACTTTATGCCATCCACTGCTCTAACTGCTTTTCTTTAACTTTTATTGAAGTGTAGTTGATATCCAATCTTACATTGGTTTCAAAGATACAATGTAATATTTGACAGTAATCTACATTATTAAATGCTCACCCTAAGTGGTGTAGCCACAGTCTGTCAATGTAGAAAGATGTTACAGAATGATTGACTATATCTTCTACGCTGTACTTTCATCCCTGTGATGAATTTATCCCCTTCACCTGCCTCACCCAGCCATACTCTAAGTGCTTTCAGTGTCCTTACTCAGGGAATTCTCTCAACAACCCCAGGAGGTAAATTGTCCCAGAGAGGTAAAGCAGTTTGTCCGAGGTCACACAGCTAATAATAATGATGGAACCAAGAAGATCCTTCACAGAGTCTGTGATCTTACACACACTAGGCTACCACGTGTAGCTTATACACACATTACCCACTAGCAGACTGAAATGCATTGTGGTGATTATCGTCCCTGTGTGCATTTTAATTATTTGGGGGAAGTTATTAAGGCTTCCACCTGTCCTCTGTTCTGACTGTGTGATCAGGGGCTCAGCCATCTGATGGCTAGGAAATGACAAGGTTCTCTGACCCTTAGTTTCTTTATCTGTAAAATGGGGTTGTCAGGAAGATTAAATCAAAGCATGTGTGAAAACACCTGATACACAGTAAGTGTGCAATAAAACCTAATTAAAATTTTATTCCAAGGGGAAGGGAGATGAGGTGCAAATGTGACATAAATCTGACGTCTTTCCTTCATTATCTCCATGGGTTTTCATTTTCAGATTTCTAGTGCTGGGGTCTGCTCCGTTTTCTCTGCCGCTTTATTCCCTGTGCCAGGACTGCTGGACTGTCTGAAGCGGAACTGTCTCAAGGGGCCTCACAGTGGAATTTAGGCTGTGGGTAAATAGGAAAAAGCAGAATTTTAATCTCAGGGTCTCTATGAAGTGTATTTGTCTCCATTTCTAACATGTCCTCTCTTGTTCCCGGTCCATTAAATGCCTTGGAAACCCACAGAAGGAAAGGCAATTAAGATTATGTCCACTCCAGGACACCCAGATACTCACCTGATCCTCCTTTCAGGTTTAACAAGCTGATTTTATCTGAATGCCTCCAAAAGGAGGCTCATTACCAAAGTCTTGGCAAGAAACCCTCATTTTTTCACACAAAAATCAGGACACCTCCACTTATTGATCCTGTTTCAGAGACAAGAAATCTAAGACCCCAAGGGAGTTGGTCCCCAGAGGACAAGAAGCAAGTGCAGGGAACAGGGCCTCCCACGCCAAGCTCTCCATGGAGGCTGGCACTGGGCTGGGCCTGGCAAGAGGCGATGTCTCGGGATGGAGTGGGGATGGAACCCCAGGAGAGAAGCCCTGGGCTGAGGCTGGTTTTGGAGGTAGAAGCTGCAGGCCATGATAGCGAATTGGATGGGGATGAAGGAAAGATCAAGGATGACTCCTGGAATTTTTCCCAGAGACACACTTAGTCCTGAGCAAAATGCTGCTGATTCCAGGTTATCTATTTGTGGTTTGTGATGGGAAACCTTGGAAGTAGGCAACTGGAAAAGACTGGCTAACTAATTACAGTATATCTGTGATGGATGATGTGGAGAACCTCAGTGTATACTGTTGGGTTTGAGAGTGCCTAACGGTATGTATAGTATGCTACCATTTGTATAAAATAGAAAAGGGGAAAATATGGGTAGTCTCATTTGCTTTATATATGCACAGCATATTTCTGGAAGAACACCCACAAACTGGCAGCATGGGTCTTTTCTGAAGTGGGGTGGGTGGGTGGGGATGGGGACATGTCCTACCATTCTGTATTTTCTGAATTTTGAATCAGGTGACTGTAGGGAAGGTCCTCCTCCCCATTTTCCCTACTGTTCAATGAGAACAGCTGTCCACTGCTTCACCCCAGGTATGTCTGGCCTTGTCTATGAAACCTTGAAGACACAGCGTGCTGTACCCATGAGTAAGGAGCTAGATAAGGGCCTTGAAGGCCGGACACCTGGCTGTGAAGTCCACACGCATGCGCATCTTCAATATTTATGCAACCATGAGTCAGCACTATAGCAGTATAAAAAGTACAGCTTTATGCAGAATAAAGTGGCTTCTTTCAAGCACCCTTCATGATGACTCCAGCCTCCTTTGCTCTTCATGTCACCTCAAGATCTCAACAGCAACCCCCGGACCCCAACAGTGACTATATTATTTTATGCATTTTATATTGCTGTTATAATGAATTGCCACAAGTGCAGCAGCTTAAAACAATGCAAATGTGTTATCTTAATAGCTCTGTAGGTTGACCTGGCTCTCACCGGGTAACAGTAAATGCGTCGGCAGGGCTGCATTCCAGTCTGGAGGCTCTAGAGGAAGATCTGTTCCTGGCCTTTTCCACCTCCCAGAGGCCCCCCTCACTCCTTGGCTGGTGGCCCCTTCCTCCGTCTTCAAAGCGGGCAGTGTGGCAGAGCTCTGACCCTTCTTCCTTCTCACACTCACATCTCTCTCCCACTGCCCCTGGGAAAAGTTATCTGCTTCAAAGCACTCTTGTGATTAGATTCAATTCAATTTAGACTATTCAATCCAGATAGTCTAGGATAATCTCCCCCCCAATCCTTAATTTAATCCCTTTACCCATGTAAGGTCACTGATTCCAGGGATTAGGATGTGGACATCTTTGGGGCCCATTGTTCTGCCTACCACAATTGAAAAAATTTAAAAAGGCAAAGAAAAAATGACCTCAAAATTTTTGTTTGAGCTTTGGCGAGGGTATAGCCATGTCTTATACTTCGTACAGGATCAGGGAAGCAGGAACACTTTGGGGAAGGTGGAGAATCAAGGTCTGCTTGCAGCATTGTGGATAAAGTGAAGGTTCCCGTGGCCAGGATTCTCACCTGGTCCTGGTTGGCTTGCTCACTACACACGTGTGGGCAATACGTCGTTATTGACTCTATATAAAGAGCTCCACCCAGTGCTCTGGGTAATATGGTGGCACGGCTGCAAGGCTGCAGGGAAGCAGAGAGTAGAGGCTGGAGGGGGTGGCAGCGCCGAGGACAGAAACTGAGAGGGCTGCAGGGGCAGAGAGGCCCAGAGGCAGAGACTGGCTTGCTGCATGCAGACTCGCTCTGAGTGGAGAGGATTCTAGTGATTGACTTGCCACTATGGGAATAAAGTTGGGTGTAAATGCTTTCACCCCAAGAACATTCCACTGTTATTTCTTTGGTCTCATTGAATCCATAGTGAACCTGCCCAGGACTGAAACCCATTGGCAAGGCAGGCATATTAATTTTGAGATGCTGGTGGACTTCCCAAGGGTGAGAAGAGGTGGAATGTATGTGTCTGGTGCTCTCACAAAGCACCAGACAGTTAAAGCCCTGGAAGTGGCCAAGAACACCCAGGGGAGAGTGGGGGGTCAGAGAAGAGGAGAAGCCCCAGGACTGAGCTCTGAACTGCAGGTGGGGGAGGGAGGAAGCCCCAGCAGGGAGGCCAGGAAGGAGCACAGTGGGGATGTGGGCAAAGCATGTCACCTCCTCCAGGAAGCCTGCCAACTACCCAAATCAAATGGAAGGAGCCTCCACCCCACTCCTGGTTTTTTTCCATTATACTCCCATGTGCCCCTTGTTCCCAGGGATGAACACAATCTGTAATTCTTTTATTGTTCGTGGCCTCTGCTGTGAGCTCCACCAGAGCAGAGCTCTGATGGTCTTGATCAGGGCTGCGGCTCCAGCACCTAGAGTGTCTGCCTCAGAGCAGACATGCAATAAAGACGGACTGAAAGAATGAATCAATGAAAACCAGCAAACTCCCTCCCTCTACCCCAGATCCACGCACAAAGAAGGTGGCTCCAAAATGTAAATGTAGAAGCTAAGGGAAAAATAGTGCAGGCCTCCCGTAGCCTCCGCGGACTGTCTCCCACAGGCAGGGCTGCGCAGGCGGTCTGCAGAGTGTGCTTTTAAACACGAGGAAGATGCCTCTGCTTTACCTGGTATCACCTTGTTTGAAATTCCACCACCGCCTCAGCTCCTGAGTGAGGCTTTATCCTCTTCGCACTCAGGACCTAGCAAACACTCCATACATTATAGTCATTCTTTTTATTTGGTTTTTTAAACACGCACATATCTCTAGGAACGATGGCCCCCTTGAGCCATTAACTTCTTAGTATGAATTAGTTTCTCAGCAAGAAGAGTTAAGGAAGGACCTTCTGGTGAGGGTAGGGTGGAGATGCAAAAGGGAGACAAGATTTCCAAAAAGTGCTGGGGAACATCTAAAGCATATCTCAGCCTGTGGTTTTGCTGAGTCTCACAACAGCACAGCATGAAGATTGCTCTGCAAGCCGCATCAGCCATTGGCCTCTCATTTCAGGGGTGTGAGTCTCTCTGAGCACAGCCTGGCAGGGGAGGAAATGAAGAGGCTCTCCAGGGAGGGGCACGGGAACGCGGACGGGCAGGGCGGAGGGCAGCCCCAGTGATAGCAGCTCCCCTTCCTCATGGATGGCTCCTCCCGCGGCCGCCCCTCCAGGAGACAGGTAATGGGTTAAGACTTTGCTCTTGGTTTCTTTCCTACTTGTCTGAAATCTGGGCTCAGCTGTTACAGAGCACAAGACGGTCTACAGGGATTGCAGCGCAAGGCTCCCCACCTTCCCTTAAACTGTTCCCTAGGGTGCCGTATACCCCCACCCCCCCAAATCAGGTGCATAATCTGACAAGTGCTCACACCCATAGTGGGAAAGAGGATTGTCCTTGTGGCCAGGGTGTGCCTAAGGCTTGGGGCAAAAGACGGTGCTGCAGCCTGATTCCTTATAATTAGCAGTTTGGGAAACTTTAGGTTAAATTTCCCATCTGTCCCAGATGCCCAAATTAGGTAGTGAGCATCTTGAGGTCAGAAACATGTTCCAGCCTAGACCTTCCAGGCCTCCTCAAGCCAGGACAGCTGCTGGCACATGGGGACGGGTCTACACTCGCGTAGTCCAATATGGTGAATGCTTGAAATGGGGCTAGTCTGAGTTACAATGTGCTGAAGGTGTAGAACACATACTGATTTCAAAGACTTGTAGGGGAAAATCACAAAATATATCTCATTAATCATTTTTATATCGGTACAAGACAAAATAATATTTTGGATATATTGGGTTAAATAAGATTAATTTCACCTGTTTCTTACTGCCTTTTTAAATGTGGCTACTAGAACATTTTACATCACATACATGGCTAGCATTATATTTCCATTGGACTTCTCTAGTGTACACTGCGCCGGTCTTCTCCCACTCTTTTCTTCTCTCAGCAATCTAAGCTGACTAGAAATGCCCTTCTCCCCGGGCATGTAAAGCCCTCAGAAGGGTAAGTTCTCCTGTGTATTTTATAGTTGCTGAACCACTGATTACACTTCAGCAAACGCATTGCTCATGCCACGTAATCTATAATCACACCCTTTGTTCTGGGATAAAGGGATTCAGGTGGCAGCAAATAGGAGAGGGACCAACTTTTATTAAGCACCAGGGCTACCAGCTTCACAAATGTTAGTTCCTTTAAATATGTTTACATGACAGCTCTGCGAGGAAGGCATTATTTACTTTTTCAGATAAAGAAACTGAGGCTCAGAGAGTCCCGATAACTTTCCCAAGATCACCCACTTAGTTAGAGGTGCAGGGTCAAGACTTGAAGCCTGGTGTGCTTGGCTCAAAGGGCAAGTTTTCCCTGACCAGTCAGACATACCTTCATTTTTGCATCATTTGAAGTAAGTCTACAGGGGCTCCCCCACTTATCTGTAGGTCCTATTATGCCTGCACATGGAAGGGGCTCATTAAGAAGGCCCTTATTGATTTATTCTTCAACACAGGTTTCTAGACTGCAAGGAACTCGCTCAGGGCTGGGTCCTAGAACACCTGGGAAACATTCTAATTCTGGTGTGGCCCTTAACTGATTAAGTGGCCTAGGGTGCAACGCTTTCCACTCTATAAAAGAGGACCTTGCAGCTCATGATCCCACCCTGGCTGGCTGGGGAATCGGAATTAGGCTGCCCTTGTGCTTAGTTCCTAATTGCAGAGCAATTACACCTGGAATTAGAAGACTTTTTTTCTAAATAGAATTTTTTTAATACTCTGAGAACCTGTTATTCATGTCCACATTTCTGTTGAATATGCTGAAAATCAAATCCCAGACAACAGAGTCCACGTCGTATGGGTGGGCAGGAAAGCCCAAGTTCATTTTCAAGGACTAGGGGGGCTTTGAGGCCCACCCACGTGGCAGGTGTTTCCCAGAGTGGTTTCATACGGGTGTTTGTCTTGGGAATTTCAATTTGGGATCATTGCTCTAATGACGAGAAACCCTCATTTGTTTAGCGGATTGGAAGGGAATGTCAAGTCTCTTCATAAACCTGCTTATTAATCCTGCCTGAAAAGCTGTTTTATTGTAAGAGGGGCATCAAAGCTGGGACGCCTGAGGAGTGCTCCCTTTATGATTCTGACAGCCTGTCCCTTGTCAAAGCTGAATGTAAGGGGCAAGAGGGTCTAGCCTGGGGCTCTTCCACTACAGCTTTGATTGGGCAACAGAGTTAAGCTCCTTAAGCGCCTCTCTTCATTCCCACCTCGGGCCTCACGTAAACCTCTTTATACAACGCCCACTCACAGCTGCTAAGAAGGCCTATGAAGGTTAATTTTTCCAAATGAGTTGCCATTTCTTGTTCCCAGTCTCTGGAGGGTACATTGAAGTGTCCTGCAGTAATTTGTTCTCCTAAAAGGATTTCAGGGTGAATCGTGATGTTAATCTATCCAACTTGGCAGAGCCATAAATTAATTCGCTACTAGTGTGGGAGGCCTTGATGTTAAAGGATGTATTCCCTGACCCGTTTTCTTTTTTTATCTGAGACTCTTTGAAAATTGGGTTCTAGGATTTGAAGGTACGGTGGGCAGAGAGAACCGAGTTCGTAAGGATTGAAAAAAACCTGTTTCTTCGAGCGTGCTTATTAGCATCAAGTATTTGCCTGTTGTTCAACTCATTTCACGACTATTAAACTAGTCGAGGACCCTTGCCCAACAGCGTGCAGCTGCAAGTAAAAGGGGAGCATTTTATATGAAGAAAAGACCTATTAAGTTACTTCTGGAAAGCAAACAACCAAACTCTTTCAAAGATCTTTCAAATGTAGACAAAGGAGATTGTCAAGATATATGCTACCTTCAAATTAATTTTTTTCTGTACAAACTCATAAGGAAAGACCCTGGAGGCTAATCTAACACTCAGGCAGCAGCTGTGATGGGAAGAACACGATAAACGTGTTTTTCTATTTTGCTAAAGCTTGTTATTTACACCCCTCCTAAAAAAAAAAAAAAATGACCTTCAGAAAAACAGGGGCTCCATCTGGAAAAACAAAGGCAAAAATGACAAGGCTTATGCTGAATGAGGTGGAAGGACACGTCATTACCCCAGGGGACAGTGTGGCACTGTGGAGGGAAAAGAAATTTGTGTGCTATTAACTGGCCAAGAGCCTTTCAAAGTGGGAAGCACACAGTAGGCCCTCAATAAATGCTGAATAAACAGGATGTGGTGAGGAGCCGGTTCTTTGCTGACTTGCCCTTCTCAGGCTCTCCTGTCTGCTCCTAAAGCCACTGCAGGGACTCTGTGTCCCCCAAAACAAGGAGGAAGTGTGGCGCACATATGCCCAGTCAGTGGCCAACAGACGGATGGGGGAAAAGCCAGCTGCCCCTTCCTAAGGGGGAGGCCACATCCCGGTGGGGATTCCAGCCTTGAAATCCTGAGGGAGCAGGCTTGGCAGTGCTGCCCTGGGGTGCGCGGGGTGGGACGGAGAGAGGCGGGGGTGAAGGGGGAGGAGGCGGCTCACCTGCGGTGGGGCCTGCGCAGAAGCCTCCGAGGGGCAAGGCTGGGTGCGCCTCCCCCGCCTCCCCCGCCTCCCCCGCCTCCCCCGCCTCCCCCGGGGCAATCCAAGCCCTTCTGACTCGTGGCACAAACGGGGAAAAGAAAGAAAACTGGCTGGAGTGCCAGGCGGCGATGGAGCGGGGCAGACTGGGGTGGGGGTGGGGGTGGGGGTGGGGGTGGGGGCCGCAGGGCGCCCTGGTGGGGAACCCCGAGTCCTTGCTCCAGGCCCTGGGGTCTTCCTGAGCCCCCACCGATGCTCTCCTGTCTTCCTTTCATGCTCTTCTGACCCCTTTCTCTTTATTGCACGTATTTATTTAACATCTCTGCATCCGCCTTTGAATTTCAAACCGAGCTAAATATAAAGTGACCGCCACCGAGGCCCAGGGCGGGTGCACTAGGTTAAGGTGACATTTACTGAAATGGGTTTTTAAATAGGATCCCAGGAAAGTGGAGAAAGTCTGACTTTGCTCATCACCCATCGAAATAGATCCGTGGCTAAGTGAGGTTCAGTGTAAAGTGCTTCCCTGACCTACATTAAAAGTTGGCCTTACCAGAAAGAGGTCAGGGAGGGAAGAGGGGGAGGAGCTTTATTGGCTGCGTGGAGGGAGGCGCTGTGCATACTCGGACCCTGGGGGCTGTGAAAAGCTGTCTTACTGGTTTGCTATCCCGAGATTCTTTTTCTCGGGGGGCTGGGTCCACAGGCAGCTTCACTTGTTCGCCATCCCACTGGCCTGGAACACTTCTTAAGAACCGTCTTCGCTTTCCGAGGCTTCCCTTGTCCCCGTCCTGGAGCTCTCAGGGTGCCCGCTAGGTCCCCCCCTCCCGCTCTCCTACATCCAGTTCCCCTTCTCTGAGGACCCCGTGCCCCTTCATCATCAAGCCCTGCGAGGGCCTGACCCTGGGGAACGGGCACTCTCTGCCCAGCTCTACCCTCTTCTATCTGCCCTGTCCTCTCCACTTCTCTCTCTTTAAACACAATTTATGCCACTGTAAAAAAATGAGAAAACACAGAGAAGGAAAGAAGAACATGAAAGTCACCAGGAATTTCACCCCCCTAGAGATGATTATTAGTGACATTTTGGGTACTTAACTTTTCCATGACACTGAGGTAGAAAGATGGCCAATGTATTGCTGAGGGGGGAAAAAATGCCCAGAGCACATCCATGCAGACACACAGGGTACTTATTTTAATGGAGTGTATATGACACTCTGTTTTGTCATCTGCTTTTTGACAACATGGTATGAATATCGTTCCTCTCAGTAAACTGGTTTCCACAGACCACTTCAGTGGTTAACTCTTATTCCACTTTAAGGATGTCCTGCAGTTTACACAACAATCCATCATGTCTGGAGCATGTTTCTCACCTGCTGCTGCTGTCAGTGACTCGGCAGTCACCGGCTTACGGCCAAGTCTTTGCAAGCACATCCTCAGCAATTTCCTCAGGATAAATTCCTCCAAGTGGAGTTACTGGGCCAAAGATGTAGGGACATTTGTGGGGCTCCTTGATACCCACCACCACATTGTCCTTTACAAAGACTGTAACAATTTGTCCTGCCAGCATGTCTGACCAGGACTGAGCATTTTCATTCTTAAAATAACATAAAGCCTTTTTTTTTTTTTAAACTGCTCTGATCATTAGGGAGATGGAGCTTGTTA